CGCTCCCGCTGCCATGTGCAGGCCTGCGAGGCACCCCAGCCCCCTGCCGGGTGGCCTGTGCCTCCCCTCTCTCTCCACTGCATATTCCTCAGCAGGTTTTGTCTTTTTTTTTCCCCTTCTTGAATATGTTATCATAGAGGGGAGCCGGTCTTGGTCAGAGGTGGGTCAGGCACAACTGGGGAAGCTTCTAGCAGCTTCTCACAGCCTCCCCTGTACCCCTGCCCTGCTACCAAAACCCTGCCACGCATACCAGTGCAGTATTTAGCGCTCGATGTCGGTCTCTTAGTGAAACCTGGCAGCAGTAGTAGAAAACAGAATGAGACACTGAACTGGCCAGCGGATTGCAGGTGACAAACTACTCTCGCCCCTTGATAGAATGTGAGCTGTGGTGTTGGAACTTTAGTGAGAACCAGCCACAGTGTTGTATTCTTCCACCTATGTTTTCAGCCAGGAAACCTGTCCACTATCCCTGTAGCTGTTTCTAGCTGTGCAGTATCCTCTTTCCAGATTTTACACCAAACAAAGCGACTGTAACTTATGCTGCCTTACCTCAAAACTTCATTAATGACTAGAACAGACATGTCTGGGTTTATGGAAAATGCATTATGTAATATATGTTGAAACTGAGTGAAGGGAAAAAATGGAAAAGGGAAGAAGAGACAGGGCTGTATTTGAGAGAACATACTACAGATTGATGAAAGGATCCTTGTCCTACAGTTTAAAGAATAAGGTTACTTTTAGAGGAAAATACATTATCACGTTAACTCATTTAGCACAGAACTAATTATCTTTGCTGGATTTAATGGATAAAATTAGTGGTTTCTTTGCTGGTTATGTATTCACAGCTACAAAATGTTTTTGCCTAAATGTGTGCGAGCAAAAATCCAAGACTACCACATTTTGACGCGAAAGAGAATAAGGTACAGGTTCCGCAAATTTATACAACAGTTTGGCCAATGCAAAGCTACTGCCAGAAACTTGAAACTTAAGTATCTTATAAATCTGGAAACCCTTCAGTCTGCCTTCTATTCAGAGGTTTTTGAAGTAAAAGAACCTGGTGGAGATCCTTCTGGAGAGGAAAGTTTTGCAACCATTGTAATAACTGGAAATGGTGGAATTCAGTGCTCAAGAGGAAAACTTAAAGACTGTGAGACACTGGCAGAGCAGGTAATTTATTAATTTAATAATTGTGCAGTTTATCGTGCAACAGTGTGATTAGCTTATGTTAGGAGTTCTGATGTATCCTAGTGATGATACAATTTCCATATGGTTGAGGCTCACAGAAATGTATTGACTTAAACAGTGCAGGGTTTTAAAATTTGGGTTTTTTTTATTGAAGTATTAGAAGAAAGTCAATGCTTGAGCATGTAATACTTCTGTGTTTGACAAATGAAAAATGCAGTGTTGAACCTTCATTACTGTAAAAAATTCAGTGGGGAAAAGTAATGACCCTGCCCGCAGGTATAGGTAAAATGCACAAATTCCTCAAATTCTCTTTGAAAGCAGGGATTTAAGGACTCGAAAAAACAGGTAAATTTCCTTACACCTCTTTTCCCTGCAGTTAGACTCCTACTAGTGTCTGAGCTATCAAATTTAAAGTGACATTTCTGTCACTGTGGAGTCCATATACTCTCTGTTCAGGAATTAGATGCTAAACAGTTCCAGTAAGTGCTAGTAATCATGTGCTATTGCATTTTTACTTATCAGTGTTATTTCTGTGGTGTGTGATTTCCCAGCGTAACTATTCATTTTGTCGAATTTACCAGAATCTAATACAAACTCATAGCACTATACGTTGAGAGTGTGGGAGTTTTCCAAAGGTAAAGTTAAAGGCAAAGAGGAACACGTTTCAGTTTTCCAAAATAATTACATCTGTTAGTTTGGTGGTTTTGATGCATAATATATAGCAGTCAAGACCAAACCACAAAAGGTTGTATTTTTACAGCACTCTATAATAATTTGTAAAAATGCTGGGTTTTTTGTAATCCTTAGCAAAAAAGAAATCTGATCACACCCCGAGATTTTAAGTGTGTTGTTCTGAGGGCATTTGTAGATTGATGTTAGGTCCAGTTACCTCGTTCATAGTTACTATGTATTAGCCCTCTGCATTTCCTAAGTTGCCTGGAAGTGCCAGTTGCTCTGGCAGGAGCTAACATAAATGTCAGATTTTGCAATTTTCTAGTTTTAGGTGTACAAACTTTATGCATACTATGCTGTTTGAGCCTGGCAACCAAGCCTTTAGTAAGAGTAGTGTTTGAACTGATCATATTTCCTTTAGAGATTGCCAAATTATTTTTTCATAATTAATAATATTATCATCCCATGCTGACAAAAACATGGCATAGGCTGTATATATTTTGTCTGGTACAGAAATTGTTTATAAAATTGGTTATGAAAACTTAGTAAATTAATGAGGCTGCTTGTAAATGTGATCAACTCTTGTTTCAGTGAACTGTACTGATGAATCTTTATTAAGATACTGAATTGCAACCAAATTTTTTAATTTTTTTGAAGGCAGGAATGACATATGTGGGACAGATTGTGAAGCAATTTCTTTTGCCAGTTCACATTTCCAACAACCAGATGAACAAATAGAGCTTCAGGGACTTCAGGGCATTTGAGCTGATTTATTCTACCTGATACTTACTGAGTATTAGAGCCTTGATTGTTACACCTGTTGATGTAATAGAATATGCTTGCAGCCACATAAATGGGATATTCTGACTTGAATAACATTTATTTGCTTTGGAAGAATAATTTTAGATAGATAAATCTACCTTTATTTAAGAATGTTACTTAGCATCTGAAGTTCTACTGAAAACAGCAAAGTATGATTTATGTGACATTGTAATTTGACTTGTGAAAGACTGAAGGAAATGATGCAGAATATCATCCTTATCAATAACTCTCTGAACTTGCTATCTTAACATGTCTTGGATTTCTCATGTAATTAGGACTGGTACTTAAGTTACCTAGTCAGTGATGACCATGGCTAATGGGATAACCTTCTCATAGAGCCTTTCTTCGTTCATACTACATCCATCTCTTTGGTAGCAGATTTTGCAGTGTGTATCACTAGGAACAAAGCCATGACATTTTGAATTTTTAACAGGCTTCATAAACTTTTTTAGTTGGGATGCTAATAATAAGTTCTAAAAAAAACCAAAAAGAGCCCCTCAAAAAGATTTTTTATTAATCTTCCATTGTAAATCCTGACAAAATACTACAGGGCAAAGAAACATCTACAACAAAAAAAAACAATAACTCATATTTGGCTATTTCCATTCAAGGTTCCTGGATCTTTATGCATTTTTTTAATTAATGCTCGTACTGATGGTCCCCTAAACGTAAAACTCCTTTCTTTATGTTTAATGGCGTATTAAAGGTTTTATGATCTTCTTTGTTGCTAGCTTACACGTTCAGATTTTTAGGAATTCTAATGCTGCTAATAGGTGAGGGTTTTTTAGTTGCTATCTATATAATTACAGTAGTAACATAACTAATATCTATTGCAGGATTTACAAACATACTGTGATTTTCCTGATATCATTGATGTCAGCATTAAACAAGCAAGCCAAGAAGGCTCCAGTGAGAGAAGAATTGTCACCATTCACAAACAAGACAGCAAGAATCTGGTCTGTTTACTTTGTTTGCTGTGTTTTTCAAATAGATGTTGCTTTGAGCAGACTGTGTGATTGCTGTGGTGCTTACAGTATTGTATAACCAATTACCATGTCAATTAAGCGTGAGGTAAAACTAAATGCATTTCAGCAGTATAAACGCCATTTTGGAACACCAAAGGTCTTCTGCATTCCTAACTCTGTGCATGGACTGAAATAGAAATAAACGTTCATAGCTGAGAATAATTTCTCATACACAGATGGGTTCTTCTATTTAGTGGAGTCTTAAACCCGAGTCTAATCTGAATCTGCCCTCTTTCAGTTTAAATCCATTGCCCCATGTCCTGTCACTACACACCCATGTCCCAAGTCCCTCTCCAGCTTTCCTGTAGGCCCCCTTTGGGTACTGGAAAGCTGCTATAAGGTCTCCCTGGAGCCTTCTCTTCTCCAGGCTGAACAGCCCCAACTCTCTCAGCCTGTCTCCATAGCAGAGGTGCTCCAGCCCTCGGATCGTCTTCGTGGCCTCCTCTGGCCCCGCTCAAGCAGCTCCATGTCCTTCTTGTGCTGGGGACTCCAGAGCTGAACGCAGTATTCCAGGTGGGGTCTCAGGAGAGCAGAGCAGAGGGGCAGAATCCCCTCCCTCAACCTGCTGCCCACGCTGCTCTGGATGCAGCCCAGGGCACAGTTGGCTTTCTGGGCTGCCAGCGCACGGTGCCGGCTCATGTTGAGCTTCTCATCCACCAGCACTCCCAAGTCCTTCTCCTCAGGGCTGCTCTCAATCCATTCTCCGCCCAGCCTGTACTTGTGCTTGGGATTGCCCTGACCCACGTGCAGGACCTTGCACTTGGCCTTGTTGAGCTTCATGAGGTTCTCACAGGCCCACCTCTCCAGCCTGTCAAGGTCCCTCTGGATGGCATCCCTTCCCTCCAGCGTGTCCACAACACCACACAGCTTGGTGTCATCTGCAAACTTGCTGAGGGTGCACTCGATCCCACTGTCCATGTTGCCAACAAAGATGTTAAATAGCACTGGTCCCAGTACTGACCCCTGAGGAACACCACTCATCACTGGCCTCCACTTGGACATTGCACCATTGACCAGAACTCCTTGAGTGCGACCATCCAGCTAATTCCTTATCCACCGAGTGGTCCATCTATCAAATCCATGTCTCTCCAGTTTAGAGACAAGGATGTTTTGTGGGTCAGTGAAATGCTTTGGACAATTCCAGGTAGATGATGTCAGTTGCTCTTCCCTTATCCACCAACACTGTAACCCTGTCGTAAAAGGCCACCAAATTTGTCCAGGCAGGATTTGCCCTTAGTGAAGCCATGTTGGCTGTCACCAATCACCTCCTGTTTTTCCCATGTGCCTTAGCATAGTTTCCAGGAGGATCTGCTCCATGATCTTGCTGGGCACAGAGGTGAGACTGACTGGCCTGTAGTTCCCCAGGTCTTCTTTTTTTCCTTTTTAAAAATGAGGGCTATGTTTTTCCTTTTTCAGTTTGTGGGAACTTCACTGCACTGCCACACCTTCTTAGATATGATGGAGAGTGGCTTAGCAACTTCATCTGCCAGTTCCCTTCAGGACCCGTGGATGCACCTCATTAGGTCCCGTGGGCTTGTGCACCTTCATATTCCTTAGATGGTCTTGAACCTGATCTTCTCCTACAGTGGGCGGTTTTTCATTCTCCCAGTCCCTGCCTTTGCCTTCTGTGACTTGGGCAGTGTGGCTAGAGCACTTGCCAGCAAAGACTGTGGCAAAAAAGTCATTGAGCACCTCAGCCTTCTCCATATCCTAGGTAACAAGGTCTCCTTTTGATGAGGGTTTCCTTCTGATGAGGGCCCACATTTTCCCTAGTACTCTTTTTATCACCGACATACCTATAGAAGCTTTTCTTGTCACCCGTGATATCCCTGGCCAGATTTAATTCTGTGAGGGCTTTAGCTTTCCTAACCTGTCAAGCTGGTTGCTCTGACAATTTTTCCTGTATTTCTCCTAGGCTGCCTGTCCTTGCTTCCATCTTCAGTAGGCTTCTGTTTTTCGTGCTTGATTTTGTCCATGACCACCTTGTTCAACCATACAGGTGTCCTGGTGGTTTCGCCCGACTTCCTCTTTGTTAATATGCACCGCTCCTGAGCTTGGAGGAGATGATGCTTGAATATTAACCAGCTGTTTTGGGCCCCTCTTCCCTTCAGGGATTTATCCCGTGATGCTCTACCAAGCAGATCCCTGAAGAGGCCAAAGTCTGCTCTCCTGTAGCCCAGGGTAGTGAGCTTGCTGAGCACACTCCTTGCTGCCCTAAGGATCTTGAACTCCACCATATCACGGTCGCTAAAGCCAAGGCTTCCCTTGAGCTTCACATTCCCCACCAGCCCCTTCTTGTTGGTGAGAACAAGGTCCAGCGCAGCACCTCTCCTCTTTGGTCCCTCTATCACCTGGAGAAGGAAGTTATCATCAATGCATTCCAGGAGCCTCCTGGTTTGCCTATGCCCTGCTGTGTTGTCTCTCCAACAGATATCGGGGTGGTCGAAGTCTCCTATGAGGATCAGGGCTTGTGAATGTGAGGCTGCTTCTGTGTGTCTATAGAGGGCCTCATCTGCTTGGTCCTCCTGGTCAGGTGGCCTGTAGCCGACATCCACTATAATGTCAGCTGTCCCTGCCATCCCTTTAATCCTGACCCATAAGCTCTTGGTCAGCTCGTTATCCATCTCCAGGCAGAGCTCTGTGCACTCCAGCTGGTCCTTGATGTAGAATGCGATACCTTAAACAGTTGTTTCAGTTTGAACTCCATCATTGCACTGGAGTCAAGCTTTCCAGCAGGTATAGCTGTCACGTACTTGTGTGAGGTGGGTTGACCTTGAGTGGATGCCAGGTGCCCACTAAGCCACTCTGTCATTCCCCCTCCTCAGCTGAACAGGGGAAGAAAACTACAGCAAAAGGCTGGTGTGTTGAGATAAGGACAGGGAGAGATCTCTCCCCACTTACCGTCATGGACAAAACAGACTCAGCTGGGGGAAATTAATTCAATTTATTGACAATCGAATCAGAGTAATGAGAAATAAAATCAAACCTTAAAAAATCTTCTCCCCACCCCTCCCTTCTTCCTGGGCTTGACTTCACCCCTGAATTTCTCTGCCTCCTACCTCTGAGTGGCACAGGTGAACAGGTTCATCACCTGTTGGCTCTGCTGCTCCTTCCTCCTCCCACTCTTCCCCTGCTCTAGCATGGAGTCTGTCCTGTGGTAGACAGTCTTCCATGAACTTCTTCAATACGTGTCCTTTCCACAGGGTGCAGTATTTCAGGAATAAACTACTCCAGTGTGTGTCGCCCACCAGGTTCACAAGTCTTGCCAGCAAACCTGCCCCAGCGTGAGCCTTTCTCTCCATGAGGTCACAAGTCCTGTTAAGAGCCTTCTCCAGCATGGGCTCTCCACAGGGTTGCAGCCTCCTTCAGGCATCCACTTGCTCTGACATGGGGTCCTCCACAGGCTGCAGGTGGGTCTCTGCTCCACTGTAGAACCTCCATGGGCTGCAGTGGGACAGCCTGCCTCACCATAGTCTTCACTACGAGTTGCAGGGGAATCTCTGCTCTGGCACCTGGAGCACCTCCTCTCCCTCGTTTTTAATGACCTTGGTGACTGCAGAGTTGTTTCTCTCACATCTTCTCACTCTTCTCTTCCGGCTGCTGTTGCACAGCAGTTTTTCTCCCCTTCTTCAGCGTGTTGTCAGAGAGGTGCTACCACCATCGCTGATGGGCTCAGCCTTGGCCAGCAGCAGGTCTGACTGGGGGTTCACTTGTGTTGGCTCTGTTGGGCATGGGGGAAGCTTCTAGCAGCTTCTCACGGAAGCCATTCCTGTTGCTCCTCTGCTACCAAAACCTTGTCGTGCAAACCCAGTACAAGTTGCTTCTTCTTTATCTCTGTGACCGACCTGTGGGCCTTCAGGGCTCCCCATCTGAGGTGTTTGGGTGACTGGAGATCTTTCTTCTGTGTGTGTGTGTGAAAAAAGCTGTGTACAGCTTACGTACTTCTTTTCTGTAAAAATAACTTTTAAAAATTCCAAAAATATTTCAGTAAGCATTAACTAGTCCTATTGTCTCTCTAATGGTGCTTCTTTTATAAAAGGGCATATAATTTACTTTCATTTATAGCAGAATTGTGATTCACATTCATTTCCTGCATTAATGGCACAGAATTAATGACCTGTTAAGAAATTGGAATTTTTTCAGGGCTTTTTATTGAAACATAAGAGTAGCTGGAATATGTGTGATGTGCATCCATGATACTGAGAGCATTACAATATTTCAGATAGGTAGAGGAAGCTTCCTTAATCTTGAGCCATTAAAATTCTCTTTAAAAATTCTCAATAGCAGTAGTTAGGTACTTGACTGTGTGTGCCTTTGGGAGTAAAAGTGACTTTCTATGAGCTTGTCTAAAAAAGCTACTGAAGAGTAAGGCAGAGTAGGAAAAGTGCAGTGGCTGCTGTTTTGCTTATGATTTGTGTGTCGACATTTACACACTAGACGAGCTGATGTGTAAATTAGAATTTGTGATTTAGTTAACCTGTTGCACAGCTAGTAGAATTCATTGCAGAAATACACTTTACACAGTTTTGGATTAAAATGGCTGGATTTTTAGGTCTGTTGTTTATATGGGTTTTCTGATCATGTTGAAACAACTGGAAAGATAGTTGTTTCCAGGTCCTCTTTTAATAAGGAGTTTGAAGACTCCAAGCAAATTCTTGGCACGTGGTCAAAAGCACTGGCTTTTTTGTTGCCAAAGAACTTGGCAAGGAATTGTGTTCAGCCGCTAAGTGTGTCCCCAGTGTCATGGACAAACTTGTGCAGCACGTACGAAAGTGTCTCTGTTGAAGTAAAGACAGCTTCTAATATTCTCGTACAACTATCAAAATACTAAGAAAATACAGAGAATTAATTACATAGAAGTAAACTCTATTTTCCTTCATTGGCAGTAATAAATATGTTGTTACAGACGAATTTAATTTTACCCTGCTCTTATCTGTTCAACCTATTCTGCATAGACCTTTTCCACACCCTGTTTTCCTTTGACCACTTTATTTTTCTCCTTGCTTCCATCCATTGCATCCCTCTTCATAGTAGTTGAAGGTCAGCTTCTATCTGTGATACAGGTCAGGATGCTGTTTTTTGCAGACTACTAGTTAAATTTTCAGGCAGGTACTTTTCTAGAGATTTTTCTTTGCTACTTGAAGGCAACCCCATAAATCTTTGATGAACAAAGGCTTTCCTTTAGGAAAAAAAAATAACATTGCGATGCCAGTGCAGTAGGTGTCTGCCATGCTGAGTTGTATCTACTCAGTTTTTACCTTTCAAACGTTCCCTCTTCTCAGCATTGCTCTGCTGTTTCATATATTTAGAGTAGGGGCTTTCTTTTATGGCAGATTTCTTTGGTTTGGGTTTGATTTGGGACACTGAAGATTGCTAGTAAGTTTTGGGTGGCGCCAAGAAAGTAGAACTATACAAATAGTAATTAAAAATAGTCTGAATATCTTTAATATATGCATATAGTTAAATCTTATATACCATTACCATGTCAAGGAAATTTGTGTTGCCTATTAAAAATAGAAATTCTCATTCTCTCTCTGTCTCTCTCTCCTCCTTCCCCCCATTCTCCTCTCACGATTTAACAGGAGGCTGAATTTCAGTCATTAAGAGAAGCTCTCTCCTTTGTATCATTAATTGATGGATATTACAGATTAACTGCGGATGCCCACCATTATCTCTGTAAAGAAGTAGCACCACCATCAGTCCTTGAAAATATCCAAAGCAACTGCCATGGGCCAATTTTGTAAGCAATTTTTAGCAATATAACAAGGTGATACTGTTTTTGAAAGATGAACTTTAGTTAACTGTGAACTATAACGAACATCTTGAAATGTGTATTTATTGCATTTATGTAAAATGCTTTATATTTTTCCTCTTATTTTTCACTTTGCAAAATATAATGCCTTCATGATGTATTATAAAGAATAAATTGAAATATTCAGGTTTTAATTTTCCTCCCTTAGAATTCTCTTTTTATTCTAGTGAGACAGGCAACAAAGTCATGGTGCTGATTTTACAGAATTATAGTTTCTACCGTGGCAGAAACATACAGTGTCGTAGACAGAGGATCTCATGTTTTCCTGGTGGCCTCTAGCAGTTATATTAGCTGAGTTGCCAAGGGGAAAAAGGCAAATTCAGATAACACTTAAATATTTGAGCAAGGATTGCAGTGAACTGCTAGCCATATAAATTGGAAAAAGTTTTTTGTTTTTAAAGAAAGTTTTCTCTTTCTTTGCTTTCTTTGTGGGTTTCTTTTTTTTTAGAGGAAGAATTTAGTACCTTCATTGAATATTTTTAAACTTTTTTTTATAAATAGTTCATATAGTAATGTTTATTGTTTGCAGAAGCACACTTGGGAGCTTAGAAACATTTTGTGAGGCAGAATAAAATAAGCATTTGCTTCAGCTACAGAAAGCTTGAAAGCTAATGTGTGCAAGTATGATTCATGAAACTAGCACTGTCTGCTCAGGTAGTACAGAATAGTTCTGTAAATTTTGTCATGACAGAAAGAGGACAGGTGCTGTAACCTTCAGAAGATACGCAGGAGGACAGGGATGGACATCCATACAGTTCTAATCACATTTCTTGCCCTAATGACTAGTGAGCTGTTTAGCAGAACGTGCCATGAATCTAGACCTTTCCAAGCCATTCCATTCCTTATTCCCTCAGTTTGATAGAAATAGTCAGCAAGGCTTTGTTTAAGGAGAAATTGGTTCTTCTAGTAAAAAATGATGGTTTATTTCAACTCCTCTTTCTTGTTAGCCCTTTCCCAAGTTAAACCCACGTTTTCCACCCACACAAATATTTTGCTAGTTTTAGCTCGTTTATTAGGCAGTTTTTTTAGAGCTTCTTCCACAGTGGAGGTCAGAAGTCATATCGTAAGCCTAGGGGAATGTACTTTTTTAGGCTGTAAGATTTCTCATCAAATAAGTGTGGTGGTTTTCAGTATTAAGAATTTTTAATATACTGCTCTCTGCATAAGTAGTCACCCTGAATATTGGAAAACAAAGAGACAAAAAGATAAAGGAAGCTGTAAACGACTGAGAGTTTGAATTGTCGTTGTATTAGATATCTGATAGTAGTGCTCATTGGCCAATCTCTGATGTTCCTGGATTTTAAAATTATGCGATATTAAACATTTTCTTTTTGCTACAGCATGGACTTTGCTATCAGTAAACTGAAGAAAGCAGGTAATCAGACTGGTTTCTACGTTCTTCGTTGCAGTCCTAAAGATTTTAAAAAATACTTCCTCACCTTTGCTATAGAGGTTTGTATTCTGCCTTAGATAGTACCTGTATAATCTTTACTACATTATAATAATTAGCATGATATGTTCAGTAGATGATTCTGAATTTTCTCTTCAGAATGTTTGTCTGATTTGTGTATTCTGTAGCTGCTTCTGTCAGATTGGCCAACTTTCAGGGTCTTGTGACAAACATCAAAATACTTACATGGTAAAGAATCACTAATGACACATACTGTATGCCTGGGAAAACAAGACAGGTGGAGGGAAGAGAGCTTGAGAGTTCTGAGGATGGTGACAAGGCTCTTGGGACTGAAGTAAATGTTTGCGTGGTGGGATGGTTTGTGAGTTGGTTTTTTTTTTTCTTCTTTAAGGTTTGGGGGATTTTTTTGGCTGGTTTGGTTTTTTCTTTGGGATTTCCACTCCCCTTACCCACCCACAGCTGAATAGGGCTTAGTTGCTCTAGTAAGTATACAGCCCTTGGTGATCTGAGAGTGTCTCTCCTTCTCAGGTTCTTCTGGGTTTGGGTCCTGTCTCCATCCTCAGTGCTGAGCCAGCCAGATTATTTGGCAACAGTAATATCGACACAGGTCTCCTGCTACATGTCTGATGTTAGCTAGAGTGGGAGCTGCCCTTTAAATTCTCATGCAGTTCTCATTGCAGCTAAAGAACACTTCTGATGGTACCCTGCCATTCTCATGCCCCCAAAGAATCAGATGCACCTCTCCTCTGCAAGACTGCAGCTACTGATACTGCAGTACTTTAATATTGCTGTTACATAATTGCATGATCTTGTTCCAAGGATGGGCTTCTCTTTAATTAAACTAAGGATGGTAATGCGTGGGTTTTCCTCCTGGTTTGCAGCAAGCTAGCAAGTTCACTAAATACTGTCCAGAATTTTTTGGACTAAGAGATCAGTCCCTGAGCAAGCTTAGAAAGTCAAAGTCTGAGAGTCAAGCCTGTGAGTTAAGCCTACCATTAACTGCCCTAGCCGTGTTTTTGTGTTTTGGTGTTTTTTTCTTCTCATTCTGATTCTTTCTGGGCAAGCTATTAAAAGGCTTTTGAGATTCAGAATTTGTTGGAACATTTTCTGCAGTGCTGACGTGAAGGACCATGAAAGCACTATTAAAAGCTCTTCTTGTTTAAAAATGTTTAATTGGATCTTTTCAAGACTCGTAAAAATAAATCCATGCATATTGAAAATCTGTGCTGGGAACTAATTGCTTAGAACTGTACTGTAGATGGCAGAAAAACAGAAATACAGCTGAGATCTCCAAATGCTTGCCAAAAGAACACAGAGAGTGAGCATTTGGGCTATTGCTTCCAACAAAATTTTGTTTTGATGTTACCTCGTGTAAGAGTGAAGAAGCTTTCATTGCTAGCTCTGAAGGACTTTTCCTAGGATCTGTTATCTGTTTTCTCAGTTCCACCTTTGCAGATGTCATAACATTTGTTTTTCTTAGCATCAACATGTTAATTCCAGTGATGGGAGTAGAATCATGTTTTCTCAGAATTAATATTACATAGTGAGAACAAAATAACAAATTATGGCAATATTTTGCTGAAGCATTCTTTGTTTAATTAGTAGAGCGCTGTATAAGCTTTTAAGTACTAAATATTGTTGATTTTATTTTTAATGGAAAAAATCTCTGCAGCGTGAGAATACCACTGATTATAAACACTGCTTAATTACAAAGAATGAGAATGGAGAATATAATCTTAGTGGAACCAAGAGAAGTTTTGGTAATCTTAAGGATCTGTTGGCCTGTTACCAGACAGAAACTGTCCGTTCAGACAGCATAATTTTCCAGTTCGTCAAATGCTGTCCTCCGAAACCGAAAGGTAAGAGAGAGATTATTTCTAAGCAGAAGAGTTTCCAACTTTGAGATTATAGATTTAAAAATAAGTCAACATTACATGACTCTCAAGTAGGTAGATACATATGTTTGTGTGGATTTTTTTTAAGTTTCACTGACCTATTTGTTCATCTTCTTAGTCATAGTTTTCAGTCCTAGTGTCTGCCAAATTTTACTTTGTTATTGATGGTCTTCCAGCAAGAATCATGGTAGCCAGTTTCATGATGAGGAGCAACCCTGGTTTCTTATTGCAGTGGATTGTGTGCAGCAGCATTTTTTTTAGAGTGTTTTCGTGTTTTGAGAAGGAAAGAGCCACTAAATGTGTAATTTCTCACTGAGGATAGTTCCATAAGCAATGGAACCAACAATGCCAGTGAATTTATTTCGTTGTTTGTTGAGATCTTAGCTGAATTATGCCAAGGCTGCAGTGTAATTTCAGTTTCTCTTTAACTCTGAAAAATACACATGAAACATAGCTCCTGCCTGAGGAGTGGATTTTTCTTGAATTTGTAGTAAAGGTTTTTGCCTAGCTTTGGTATTCATAGTATCTTTCTCCTTTATGAATTCTGACAACATCTGCCCTTTTTGCTTATTATTTACTGTCCTTTTGCTTATTATTTACAGTTAATATTAGTTAGTCTTTGTCTCTATCCAAGTCCTTATTTAAACAAAAGCTTGAGAGAACAGACTGTTTGGAACCAGTTTTAGCGCTCTCGGATTTGATTGAAATTAGCCAATGGATTCAAAAGCTTAGAAAAGAGATTTGACAAATAAATACAGATGCGCATTGCAGACGATAATTTTGTAACCTTATATCCATTGAAATCAAACAAAAATGTGTATTCATCAGAATTATGAACCACTGAATAAATGTAACAGTGCATGCATGCATATACCCACAGTTATGTACCTGTCAGCTTTAGTTTTACTAACAGACCTGCTCTACTTCATGGAGAAACTTTTTTCAGAATCACTCAAAGAATAATTACTTTGGTAAGTGTAAGGCAATGAGGATCTCTGAAGTGTTGCTGGGGCAAAAATATGTAAAAGCTTTAAAGAGGCATCAGAAAGATGCCTCTTTAAAGAATGCGTCTTTAACAGAATGACTTCATAATATAGAAGGTGGTGGTGACCTGCATCACCTTTTTCCACTCCTGATTGTTATTACAAATACAGCAGAAGTTAAAATATGAAAGGAGGTAGGAATATTTTCACAATGTTTGTCAAAAGTAGGAGTACTGAAGAAACTTAAAATAGCTGAGAGAAAATGTTTTTGCTGATTAGAAAAAAATCAGAGTTTGAATTTGTTTAGTGAAATACTGTATGGCTTTTTGAATAAGCTGATCTCAGTGTGATATCTTCTTTTTGTTGGATTGCCATCTTCTCATTAATAAGCCTTCTGAAATAATATTAAGTTTCGTTTTATGTTGTACAAATTTACTTTGTTATTATTCTCCCTACCTTCTTTCTTCTCCCAGATAAATCAAATCTCCTAGTCTTCAGAAGCAACAGCGTTTCAGACGTACCTTCATCACCTACCATACAGAGACACAATAATGTCAACCAGATGGTCTTTCACAAAATCCGGAATGAGGACTTGATATTCGTAAGTCCATTAGTTACTTCTTCCACTGCAGATGGTTGGTTTGATACCAAGTTTGGAAAAACTCAGTATATATTTAGAAGAGCGTTGTCTGAGCTAGGAGATTTTGCTGTAATCTTTCCTTAGAGTTGTGAGAGAAAATAATTTTTTTAAAATTTTCCATTAATACGGGTAATAATTTTTTTTTTTTTAAATAAGAAGTGTTCTTTTGACTGTAATAGCAGTTGTTTTCTTAACTTCTAGGCATGTCTAAATAACATCTTAATAACAGCAATTCCTTCCTCTCTGGTTCTTGCAGCAAGTTATTTTCTAAGGTCCTTGAGGAGTCAATAAAAAATAAGCAAATATTTAAGCTGTTTCTGATATAGTTGCTTCCTTGTCACCTCAGTCTGACTCTAGAGACATGCTAGCTGTAAATATTTACATATGGGTTGCTTAGGCTGGATATTTAAGAGATATTTTGCAAGACAGGTAGAGATTTCTTATTTTTTCTGGTCTGTATCCTTTCTGTCTTCTAGGAGGAAAGTCTTGGACAGGGCACGTTTACTAAGATTTTCAAAGGTGTAAGGAAAGAAGTGGGAGACTATGGCCAGCTCCATCAAACTGAAGTACTTTTAAAGGTGTTGGATAAAGTGCATAGAAACTACTCTGAGGTGGGTGTGACTGTTGACTGCTATGTAATGTTTGTTCGTGCTATGTTGAGCATTACTTTTTCTTACAAAAACCAGTATTTCTTACACGGTAGAGGGTTGTACGTTGAACCAAGCTCATTCTTGGCCTTGTGACTCTGGGAGGGTGGATTTGAGACTGGCTTTGGGAAGTACACCTATGTACTTTATTTCCCCTCTCCCCACTATCCGTCGGAGAATTCAGAACTGCCCACTGAGACCCAGAGAACAGTGTCTTAGCATGATACAAGTACCACGGGAGGGGTGGTATAGCCACAAAATTACCTTTGCCAGTGAATTCATTATGTACAGATGAGGTATCAACTTTTATGGAAATTTACTTTCTTTTGGTAGACTATCTTTGGTGTTCTGGAGTTGTACTGGTTCTCCAGTCAAATTAACATTTCACATCAAGTCATAAAAAGTCAGAAGTATCTGTGTATGAGAAGCACTTGCCATATGTAGAATCATCCATATTCACTTACTCTTCACTGTTTGAGTGAAGCTGTGAGCAAACTTGAAATACCTTTGTGCAAAATCTAATACCCTGCCAATGTAATTGAGCCCAGGATTGTGTATGTGACAATTTAGTTTTAAAGACTTTAATAAGATGTGGTAATGTTTAATATATTAATGTAACTTTATATCGCTGTTTATTGTTTATTTGATGATATAATTATATCAAATTTCTAATTAATCTAGCTGTATTTACAGCAAGCCAAGAGAACCAATCCATTGTTTATTGATTTTTTCAATTACTTAAGACGAAGCTATGTGAAAATGTAAGCAATAAAGGAAAAGACATTTCAAATAGCTAATATTCATAAGCAATGTAGGCCTACGCTTTGGACAAATGAAAACAATAAAGAAACCTTAACCCATATATTAATAAGCTGGGTAATATATTCTACGGTTAAGTGAAAATTAGTTGTTAAAAGGACTAAGAGTCGAGAAATACAAATACAGTCATCTGAAGGAAAATGTGCTGATTTTGACTTTGTTCTGTTGGGTGAATAATCAGTACACAAGCAAATGTAATTGGAGATGCTACTGAAGAGAATTTAACAAATTACTAAAAAATAATTTTCTGCCCCTCTACTCTGCTCTCGTGAGAACCCACCTGGAGCACTGCATTCAGCTCTGGGGCCCTCAGCATAAGAAGGATGTGGACCTGTTGGAGCGGGTCCAGAGGAGGCCACAAAAGGGCTGGAGCACCTCTCCTACAAAGACAGGCTGAGACAGTTGGGGCTGTTCAGCCTGGAGAAGAGAAGGTTCTGGGGAGACCTTCTAGAAGCCTTCCAGTACCTAAAGGGGGCCTACAAGAAAGCTGCAGAGGGGCTTTTTACAAGGGTGTGTAGTGATAGGACAAAGGGAAATGGCTTTAAACTGAAAGAGGGGAGATTTAGATTGGATCTAAGGAAGAAATTCTTGCCTGTGAGGGTGGTGAGTCACTGGCACAAGTTGCCCAGAGAAGTTGTGGCTGCCCCATCCCTGGAAGTGTTCATGGCCAGGTGGGATGAAGCTTTGAGAAATGTAATCTAGTGAAAGGTGTCCCTGCCCATGGCAGGGGACTTGGAGCTAGATGATTTTTAAGTTCCCTTCCAACCCAAACCGTTCCATGATTCTATGACTAAAGAAATAAAAGCATCTGAAACCTTCCTGACAAGGTTAGGTAAGATCTCACAGTAGTGGTTGAATGATATAATATTTCTTGTCTTTTAACTTAATCATGTGCTATGAAGAAATACATTGGAAACTGAATAGTGTGTCATGAATTTGTCTGCTGTTTACTTAGTTAACTGACATAGAAAAGGTTCTTTTTGAAACGTGGAGATACACCTGCTTGCAGAAAAAAAGATTGCTAACCTCTCTGGAATGTGGATTATCAATTTAAGAGAAAAAAAAAAACAAACAAATGTAAACCTACAAACAATATAAAACATGTTATGCAGGGCTTTCGCAATGAGATGGAAGTTGAAGTGTTTTAAAAATTTCACATGGTTTTAATAAATTTATTAGAAATCATGTAGTGTTTTGGAGGTTTATTTTCACTGATATTTTTTGTCTCTCAATCTCTCTCTAATGTTTTGGGGTTTTGTTTTCACTGATATTTATTCTGTCAATCTCTTTCCTTCCTTAAAGTCGTTCTTTGAGGCAGCAAGTATGATGAGCCAGCTTTCTTACAAACATCTGGTGTTAAATTACGGAGTCTGCGTATGTGGAGAGGAAAGTAAGTAGAAATCAATTATTTTTTGGTACTAATTTTGTACAGCTGTCATTAGAGTTTGCCATTGTTTCTGAGTAAAAGAAGGGGAAAAACCAAACCAAAACCACCTGTCACAGTAGCTGGACATCCAATACATGTTCATGTTGCAGTAGTATTAGTCTTAGTGTCTGAGAACTAGTTAATATGCTGATAACAAAGAAAATTGAAAAACTGCATAAATATGATCAATGTGAATAGTGACCTCTGTAAATGACTCAGTGATGTCTGTTCTGTCTGAAAATCTTACTTTTGAAAAGTTTTGCTGAACTTCTGAAGCGAGCTTTTGAAACACCAGAAAAAACTGCACCTCTACATGTATCAACTGTGCTTAGTTAGAAAGGGAAGTGCTTGACTACCCGAGAAAATCTTTGTTTACTGTGATCAGAAACACAGAAACTGACACCCTTTCCCACCCCTGTGCTGACTTTGTGAGCACAAATGTAGCTTTCGGAAGTCTGGTTTAGAGATTCCATTCTGAAAACATGAGTTCCCATTATTTCAACAAAAACACCACAGAAGTTAACGAAGGTGAAATCTTTGCATTGTCTACCAAAGTAGGGTGTGTTTTCAGTTAAGCGTGCTGCGTTATGCCTGTTTGTTACTAAGTTTTTTTTTAAGAAAACCTGAAATACATTTGTAACGCCTTGTAATGAAATCTCAGTTTTCGGTGTTCGCCTGGTGCTTAGGTGTGCTTTCTTCAAATATGCACTGCTGAGTCTCACTTGGGCAGTTTTTCCTCTGCATTCAGTCTTTAGGCAGAAAAGTCAGTTTGCCCTAAACCCATTTGTTTTTTCTGTGCTTAGAAATTTGTAAGAAAAGAGAGCATTTCATAGTAACTGTATAAGCATGTTTTGTAGACGGTGGCCTGCATTTAGAGAGGAAGAATTTGCCAAAGTGAGGGTGGAGTCTGTAACAGGACTTGCTCCTCTTAGGAGGCTGGAAAAGGCATAGCACTATGTTTGGCAAAGAACTTGTTACACCAGTTTCTTTGCAAAAAGGCCCGTGAGTGTGTTTTGTAGTTTATTCATTGTTCCATGCACAGGGGCTATATGTAAATTTTCAGGTAGATAAAGTGTATATTTAAAAAAAAAAAAAATCTGAAGTTCTATGAGGTTACTTTTTTCTCCTTTCGGTCACAGTTGCCCTCTATAGACAGTTCTGTTTCTGAAGGCAGGAGACTTACTACAGTTTAGTAAGAGGCAGCTACTAAGAAATAGAAAGGCAGGCTGTTATTTTTTCTGTGGGTGACACACTTGATATACAGATTTGGTTAAGATTGCTTTACATCATTGTAAAAAAAGAAAAGTTTGCTGCCTATAAAATGAATTTGGTAATAACAGACTGATTTTTATAACAAATATACCAGTAGTTTCCAGTGTCTTTAGGGTCTAAATGAGAAGCGCTGCAAGGTGAGCATCTTGCAGCTGGAGGTGAGAGTTCTGTCACACAATTTGAAACTGTTGTAGTGAAACTGGCGAGGGCTGTGCACCACTGTGAAACGGATCCAGTTTATTGGGTTATTCACTGGAAGACTGCGTGAAGGCGTATATGTCACATATATGCACACGTTTTTTTAGTGCAAATACTAGTCTGTTTTCAAGAGGAGCATCTTTTGTCAGCAAACTATCCTATTTTTCACTAAAAACACAGATTGTAAACAACTGTGAAGTGAATAACTTGAATGTTATTCAACTCACTGTGTTGATATTGCTGTACAGTACTGTGCTTTATCAGAAGTTATGTTATTTATTGTGCCTTTCAAGGGAGGGTGGAAGGATGCTCACTGGATTTGTTAAGGTGGAATCCTATTCTGTAAAAAACTATTAAGTCTAGTAATTTTGCATTTGAGAGGAAATTAGGTGAACTTTCACACCCTAAAGAAGTATAAAGAACATAGAATATTTGTGGCAGTACTCAAATGTCACACAGCTTTGGATTTACAGTTAGTTCACAAATGAGGTATCAAAAGAAGGAGATGGGTAGTACTAGAGTAATGAATCTGTCCTGAAATTCCAATATTTATTGGTGGTTTTAATTGTTACCCTCTTTACCATTTTAAATCAGACATCCTTGTACAAGAATATGTGAAATTTGGATCCTTGGACACATATTTGAAAAAGAATAAAAATGTTATCAATATCTTGTGGAAGCTGGAAGTAGCCAAACAGTTGGCATTAGCCATGCATTTTCTGGTAAGTAGTGCATTCTTCAGTTTTGTTAAAGGCTGAATTCAAGTGTTTCAAGCTAATACATGTAGAACAGCTGAGCTATTACCTTACTTTTCAAAACTGGAGAATATTTGAAAATAGGCTGGGCATATACCAGATAGTGGATTGCCAAGGACAGACTTTTTTATTTTGCACAAAGTGTAATTGAATTTCCCATTCTTTTTTAGTGCTTTATGTTTTAGTGTTAAATAAAAACACATTTCCAGTAAGAATTCTTTTTTTTTTTGATTCCAAGAATCAGCCCTTCCTGGTTTTCCCACCTCAGCTCTTGATGATTTCCTGGTAGTGTTAGTAGTTAACAACTGGGAAGGGAAACGTAGTACTGTTCAAACTGGTAGTACAATCTTCTTGTGCATTAGGTCCTAACCTTACATTCTGATTAATTCAACATAAAGGCCAGTATTCAAGACAGAATATGTGAATAGATGGATCTTCCCTTTAACAGAGTTTAAATGGATCATACTGACGGATCATTATTCTTCTGAGTTAATATACATCAAATAGTTTTAAACTGGAAATTTTAGGTAGATAATTAAAATTAATGGAAATTGGCTATAAACTCTAACTCTGAGAGGGACTGATGAAATGTCTGATATTTGATCAACTTAATCTATGATCATTATTTTCTTTGCTGATGTTTCCCATATGCTGTAACTATTGTTTTTTTAGTACTTCTTCAACCATAAGATTTTTTTGTCAGTATGTAAAAGTTGCATTTCTGTTCATAGGAGGATAAAGGACTTGTTCATGGGAATGTCTGTGCGAAAAACATCTTGCTTATCAGAGAGGAAGACAGGAAGTCTGGAAACCTTCCATTTATAAAACTGAGTGATCCTGGCATCAGTATTACAGTTTTGCCAAGAGACAGTAAGTCTTGGTGTCATCTTTCTTGTTTAATGCTTCTGACTTGAAAAATAAGTCTGATGATGTTTTTTTCTGACCACTGTATAAGATACTTCTGTTACAGTAAATTCTTTAATCCTTCTGTCACTTTAAGATAATCTCTGCAGTCCGAGTCAGCAGTTTTGAGTGTATCTTCTTTATCAGCAAATAGCTACAGGAAATAAAGCCACTATTCTCCATTGTGTGAGGGGGCTTCTTCCTGCTGTTCTCACTTTGAACTTTTTTTCCACTGGTAGTACCATTAGCACACTCTAACGTACCACGAGTAAGTCTGTTGAATCGGCAGGTAGCTGCTGGTCTTAGTATCTTATTACTGCTCAAGATTAAATTGTTGTATTTTGTATCTTGGAGAAGTTTTCAGAGCCAAAGGTAAATGCACTTTGGAAAATGCTGCCTGGCAGTTGAAAATCATCTTCAGTGCATTTCTTGGTGAATACCTGAAGCCCCTTGATGATGCTAGAAATACTGGATTATCATCTGCCATTAAGGCTGTTCTAGTGCTTTGTAAACAGCAAAATTAATTAAATGAAATTAAAAGTGTGTGCAAAATTGGTATCCTAAAGAAACTGAAGTAACCTTACTGTTCTTTATCTCCTCTTTTTAATAATTTTGGAAAAATGAATGCACTTTATACTTTGTAATTTTTTAAATGCCAAAAGAAATGATGCATCTAAGAGGCTATAACCAATGCAGTGTCATTATTTTCCAATAAACTGTTTAAACTCCTCCTTTTCAAATAAGAAGCCTACGTTAATCTTACAAAATTTTGTTTTAAGGAACTCTGAATCTACATCAGTACGAGAACATCTTTTAAATATAATCAGTATCAAAAGTTTAAAAATCAAGTAGTATGAAATTCCTTGTTATGGCATCTTTTGCTGTGCCATAATGTGCCAACTACTAGCAAAGTACTTTTTACTCTTTGCCGTCTCGTTCCTTTGTGGTAGCTACTAAATCTTGGTAACATTATGGAAAATACAGAAGTTGGAGCAAAAATGTAACATGGAAATGATATTAAGGCAATTTTATAACATTAGGCACATTTTACAACAAAACTAATGGTCCTTCCTTCTGATTCATAAACATTACTTTTGTATATATTCTGTAGCTTTTTTTTTTTAAAGGCAGGAAGGAAAACTTGGAAAGATGCTAAAAGCACATTACAGAATGCAATACCTATGTGTACTAAAGTCATTTTTACTAAATCAAATATGTTAGTGAATTTTCTGGGTTTATTATTCGTCTTGACATGGTATTTCCTTTGTGTGATTGCAGTTCTTCTTGAACGAATACCGTGGGTTCCACCTGAATGTATTGAGAATCCCAAACAGTTAAGCCTGGCCACAGACAAATGGAGTTTTGGTACTACTTTGTGGGAAATTTGCAGTGGAGGAGACAAACCTCTGAGTGCACTGGATTCTTCGAGAGTACGTATTACTGGATCTGCAGACATAGCAGTTCTTTGGACACTTCTAGTTTAAAACATCTGCTGTTGTAACTATATCAGCATGTAAAGTGGTGTGGCCCATGA